GGTACTTTAAACTGTATAAATAATACCAAATTTAATTGATCTGCAATAGCCAATCATAGGAAAGTCTGCCTATGATGTCATACCGATACATAACCTGATTGTGGCTTGGATTGATGACGTTACGCGTTCCGATCACGTAAAAACAAAAGCCAAGTTGCCAACATACTCATAGACTGTTCATTACGATGGCAGAAGTTAAGTCAATGTCGAGCAACGAGCACACGGACGGAGGTTTGGCGGATGAGCACCCAAATGAACACAGTCAACCTGCACCTGTTCAGTATTTTGTGTCAGTTCCCGCGAAAGAATGGTCGTACCTCGGATCTCGAGACCATGAAGCCCCAATTCCAAAATCACAGATTGAAGACGTTAAAATCATTATGGATGAAAAAATTCAAACAAGAGCTAAGGGAAATTGAAAAAAACGACACAGACGAAGGACGACAAATAGCTGCTTCATTCCTTCTCAAACAGGTCTGTAGGCGTCTATATATGCATATGTACTGTTGTCGCTAGCGAAATCTCCGCTAGTCTGTAAGTTGCACCACGCTGGAGCAGGTGTCGCCCCTGTTAACTCCGGGAGTTAGGTTTCGTCCTCGGTGCAATTACGGAGCGCTTGTATATACGGGTTGCAATCACGCTGGAGCAGGTGTCGCCCCTGTTAACTCCGGGAGTTAGGTTTCGTCCTCGGTTACAACGTGTAACAAGCGCCGACGACCAACATACGAAAATTTCATCAATGCAATGGTAACTTATTTATCATTTTTTAGAAGAACGGCCGAGAAGCTACCGAGTTCTGGAATCTCTTTGAAAAGAAGAGGGAGCTGGAAAAACAACAGGTATATAATAGTATGCTGTATTACTTCGCCAGATTCCAAGAGTCTCATTATGTTGTGTGAGCAACAGTTCAATACCAACGTCGACATTCAGTTAAGCACATTAAAAGTCATGGGTACTGCAGCTGTACATCAAGTGGCTCAGTTAATTGGACGTCTATCGAACGGGCAAGATGACAAGTGCGGCGAGGATAAAGATAATGGCAAAAATATAGCAAACATGGTAAGGCGTATCAAAATTTCAATTATGTAAATTATGTACCAAAAAGTGCTTGTAAAACTAGGAATAATGAATTCTTCGTTTATAGAAACGACAAGGAGACGTCCATCTCGATCAAACAAAATCAAAATCCCGAAAAATTGATGCTCATGAGCCAGCTGATGGCCAGGTAGATAAACATCAGGATGACGACGTAGTTGAATCAGTTGTATACTTTAAACAATACCTGAAAAGCAGCTAATTCTCTTCTTATTACCTGTAGGAAGCGATTAGAGACATTTTGGGCAACGCCTTTGAATGCTCGGAGGCGATGAAAACAGTTTGTTCAATCTACGCGAAACAAAATCCGGTTGGGGATTTAATCGACCTCCGTCTGTGTTCGCCCTTTCTCGGAAAGCTTCCAAGATCAACAGCAGAATCGTATTTTTCTGAGATGGACACTATAACAGAATCACTAATTTCTACCGATGTGCATGATTTTCTCGTTCGTTTCTTCTCACAAGCTACAACAGGCGAAGGGTGGCAAAAGAAGATTGACGATCTGCGATGTCAAGACTCAGATGATTTTTTGATGGTTGCCATAGTGCGAATTGTCCGAAGTACCCTGCCGCAATTGTATATATCATGTTTATCTTTTTATTTTTAATTTTTTTTTAAGGGGATCCATTCTTATATCTTTCTTCTGTAGTATAAAAGCGTTCTCTCTTGGCGCTCAAAATCCTCTCCTAAACATAGCCGCGATCAAAACAACTCATCTAAATGCCTTTGTCCACCCGTGTCTTGATGCTGCTTTGTGGCACATAGCGGGGTTACATTACAAGTATGGAGAAGTCCCATCTAAATATCACATTGACAAAAACCTCACTGATGGCATTGGATGCATGACCAATGCGGATGAATTCCAGCTGGTCTACGTTGAAGGATTAAGGCCGGCGGCAAAGGAAGAAAAGGAGATTGCTGATGTCACAAAAATTGCGCGTAACTTAAAGAATATTTTCGCAAGAACTGTCAAAGAAATAATCAAGAATCGGAGGCGTCTGCTGAAAAATTTAACTGTATTTGGTGGTCAAAGTTTCCGCCTTCAGATTTATCTGTATTATCTTAACTATTGTGGTACGTTACCCTCTCATTGAAAGTTTATTATTGTCAGAAGCTGATAATGCCTCCACAGCCAATGTCAATTCAGGAAATTATTGCCTGAACGAAGTAGACAACGCAAATCTTCCTCGAGATTTCACAGAGATGCAAGACTTCGTTTATTTTTATGAATGCGTGGTGAAATGGGCGGTATGTTTCAATCATGAGCGCTTGTACGCATTATCGTTACTAACTGTGCAATAACTTTACGTCACCATTTATAAATTCAGCTGCTGGCTCGAAACGTCGTAAAGTCCTTTAACGAGGCAAGGATAGAGAAGAGGCCTTCGCGCCTTTCGTACGCAGGCGGTCTACTCAATATGATTGATCCCTGATGAGGCCTCGAATGAGAGCACGGCTGTACAGATGATCTAGAATATGAGTTCATGTTGCTTCAGCGTGGTATTTTGCTTGTACGATAAGCTTTGAAGTAAATAAAAAAGGAGAGAACGTGGTTGCGTTTTTACGTGTCGGTATTTAGTGAACTGCCAATGGAATGCTCTAACGAAAGGAGGACGCTAGTCGGGGACACTCATCATATACTCTTGAACTTTATGGAGAATATCAAATCATTAAAAGTCATGCAGAAAAGATGAAAATAAAATCTTCGAGCATGAGGATCGAACAACGTCAAATGTTCACTTTGTCTGGTTTTGTTACAGCATGCCCGTATAAAGTTCAATAGAAAATAATGATATTAAACTAAATTTATATTTTTCTATAAAATATAATTATTATTTAAAGTTTTTAATAGAATTATTCTTTTAAAAAAGCAAACTCATCTTAATAAGTGTTTAAATATATTAAATAAAGCCAATATTTTTTAAAATATATTTTCAATAATTCTTTAGTTTTTTTATATAAAATGGTAAAAAAAGAAAATTATTTAGAATTATTAGATAATTATTATATAAAATTTAATAGAAAATAATAATATTAAACTAAGTTTATATTCTTTTGCAAAATATAATTATCATTCTAAAGTTTTTTAATAGAGCTAGTTTTTAAAAATGCAAATTTATCTTAATAAGTATTTAAATATACTAAGTGATTTTAAATTATAAAAACTATTCTAATACAAAATTATATATTCTATAATATCACAAAACATCCTTTAATTAATATAAATATATTTCTTTATGAAATAAATAGATCTAAAAACAAATTAAATTAGATAATTTTATTAATAATTTTAAGGAAAAATGACAAGAATTTCTTGAATTTTTACTAATTAAGATATTATATTTAGTTGAAGTACTATTTACCTTTATTAATAATCCATTTGTTATTTAATTTTTTTAAATATCTTAAATTATCTTTTAAGCTTTTAAATAGAAAGAATATTGCTAATAAATTATTAAATGAAGTTTATGAAAATGTAAAAATATAAACAGATAAATAAATTTTAAAAGTAATACTCTTTTGATGACTGATCTAACATTAATAGAAAATCAGTATAAAATTTTATTATTTATATTTCAAAACCTTTTTTTTTAATACTTTTTCAAAAGAAGAATCTTATACAGCAGAATGGATTGTAAATCAAATAATTTAATAAATAGAAAAAAAATCTTTTAATATTATTTGTCTTAAATATAACTCTCATATTATTAATCTTTTGATATTTTATTATTTGATAAATTAAAGCTATAATTAATAATTCAATCAATAATAATCTATTTTAGATCTCATCTACAAGTAGCAGCAAAATTGAAACATTAATTTTCTAGTACTTATATGATAGAATACACATTAACTGTTTTTAATCACTTCAAAAATCAAGAATTGCTCTTGAATAATTATTGATGAATTCTTTGAATTTGTCATAAAATAGATCAAATAATATATTATTAAATGAATTTATCAAATGGTAGATTTGATAATTAAAAAATTTAGAACCAATAGTTGTAGTATTAAATTCTTTTGAATCAGATACATCTACTCTCTTAACAATTTATTCATATTATAGCAAATTAATAGAACAATTTGATAAATTTTTATGACATTTATCTAAAATATTTAGCAACTTATTCAAAAAAGATGGGTGTATGCATTATCATCCTATTATGATGGCTGCTTATATATTATATATTAGATCCATGTTTTTTAAAAAGAAAGTAAAAATACAGATTTAGAGGCAACTGGATATTCTGAATTTATAGCATTTACTAACAAATTGTTTGATTAGGAGAAATCTGTAACATTGATTATTGAGCTAGTAAAATTTCGCCAAAAAAGCTTCATCATATGATAATGAAATAATTTGATGTCTTAGTAGTGGGCTTCAACAATTGGCTATCCAAAATTTTTTTATTACTACATCATCAGCAGCTGCATAGCAAAATCAGAAATCGCGTAATAAAGGCAAGAAATTCGTAAAGAATACTGAGGATATTAACGAATTTTGATGATAGTATTTTAAATTTTTTTTTTTTTATATTAAATTATTTTAATTATATTACGGTTAATTAATGGTTAAATAACGGTATAACCAAATCTTAATTAACCGTTAATTCTGAGTGTTAACCTTTTTTAGGGCCGCCACCCGTATTACATCAAATCTTTTTTATAAAAACTCGTTTTTATCGTTTAAATAATTTTTGATCAAATTTATTTAAATGTCTGCAACTGCCCAACCTACAAATAATGAACGTACGAATAATAGTAACATTGACGCGAATCGAGAATCAACTAATAATAATACAAGACAACAGCAACAGCAGCAACAAGAGCAACCATCATGGCAATCAATAATACAATTAATAATTCGATTTATGTTAATTTATTATGTCATCGGCTATTTTTTTAAAGGCAAGTTTTCATTTGAATTATGATTAAATATAGTTTTTTATATGAATAAAAAATAATTTGATTTTTTTTATAGGAACAAATAATCCAGCTCCTATTAATACCTCAAAAAGTAATGACAGTCCGAATATTCCAGTTACATCGAATTCTTTTATCCCGTCACATTTATATCCATCATGGGAAACGGGTTCAAGTATGGTAAGTTAAAACAACACTAATAATTCACTGTACCTATATTCAAATTTTTTTTTTTTATTGTTAGGATTTACGTGTATACATTTCAGAAGAGGAGAATTTTACTGATTTCAGAAACCTTGATGTTCTCATATGGCACGCTCCATCTATTCAGCTTGGAAATTGGGATGATGAAAGAGACATATCAACGGACATTCAAACTTCTGTGGTAACATAACGTATATTTTGATCACATGATTTGTATCATAAACAGTTTATTTGAAATCATCATATTTTCCTTAATAGAATGTGCGAAATAATGGCACCTTGTATGCACATATCTATCTTACTCTTAATAAGGCTTCTCCAGATCCAACAGATCCAGCATTTCAAGAAAACATGAGAGTATATCAAAGGAAATGTATTTATCAAATTTTTTTATTAATAATTTAATAATTGACTTTAAAATACAAATATTTTAACAATTTAATTGAATTTATAAGTGCTGACAAGGTATTACCCAAAGCGCAAAGTGATCAAGACAATGAAACTTATTGGCGGCAGTGATGATGACGAGATTGAAGAAGTTGAAGAACAAGAAGTAAGATGATTTCTATAAAAATTTTAGCATAAAATTTTACTTAATAAAACTGCTCTATTTTTAGACAAAATCAAGCGAAATCCCGATAGTATCGTATTGGCATCAAAATCTTACGCTTAATCTCATTTCAGATAATACTGTCCTTCCATATAGTCAATTACCGCCCGTAGTCGCATCACGTAAGTTATTTTTAATTGAATATAAACAAATTTTATTGTATTTGCTTATATGTTCCCTTAATAGATATTCAATTGGATAAAACTACCTTACTGGATCCTTCCAGCAAAGCTGGATATTATCTTCCAGTTTTATTTGTTAATGATTTCTGGGTTCTCAAAGAACACTTGATGCCTATTAATGAAACAGTCGAGTAAGGGTTTTTTAAAAACATAATTTATTGCTTTTTAATAACTATTAATAATGCGCTTATGATATTTAGGGAAGTGCTTTTAAATATTAAATATTATCCTATCTCAATGTGGAAATTCCAAATATATGTTCAAATGGGAGAATCATTCAGAGCACAAGCAGAAATGATGGGCGGAGATGCACATAGTGAATTTGATGAAATTAAAAGAATGTTAAGAGAGACAAATCCAATTCTATTAGGTGTAACATTTACGGTATCATTATTGCATAGTATTTTTGAATTCTTGGCCTTTAAAAATGGTTTGTATTTGATTTTTCAAAAAAAAAAAATAAAACAAAATAAAACAAAATAATTATTCAATAATTTGAAAATATTGCTTATTAGATATTGCTCATTGGAGAAATAAGGAAGAACTGACAGGAGTCTCGGTCCGATCTATTCTATTGAATATATTCTTTCAGTTAATAATATTTTTATATTTAATGGATGATAATAGCGATACGAGTTGGATGATTTTGATTGGTCAAGGAATTTCAGTTGCTATTGAAGTATGGAAAATTAAAAAGGCTGTTGATGTTAAAGTTAGTACAATATTATATGATCTTTTACAATATTTTACTAGAAAAATTAATTAATTTTCTTTAATTTATAGATTAATCCATCTCAAGGATTTTTCAAGTATTCAATAAAATTCGTAGATAAACATAAACTTTCAGAGAGTGAAGAAAAGACGAAGGAATATGACAGACTTGCTTTTAAATATTTGTCTTGGATAGCTTATCCATTACTTACTTCTTACGCCATTTATAGTCTTGTTTACAATTCACATAAAAGTTGGTATTCCTTTGTTTTGTCAACTCTTGTCGGGTTCGTCTATGCATTTGGCTTTATAATGATGACTCCACAGTTATTTATCAATTATAAACTTAAGAGTGTAAGAAAATATTTTTTAATTTCTTATTTCATAATTTATTAAATTATTAAATCTATTTATTTTAACATTTTCAGGTTGCGCATATGCCTTGGAAAACACTTATGTACAAAACGCTTGGTACATTTGTGGATGATTTGTTTGCTTTTTGCATTAAAATGCCTACTTTGCATCGTTTGGCATGTTTGAGAGATGATGTTGTCTTCTTCGTGTATCTGTATCAAAAATGGAAATATCCAAGTAAGTTTATGTTCGCAAGCTCAAGTTTGAACTTCAGTTACGATATTCTAATGATGGTTTTTTTTTTTTTTCTTTTGAAGTTGACCATAAGAGAGCAAACGAATATGGGCAGGTTGCGTCTGAAAATCAAATAGATCAAATAGATCAAGGATCCCAACCGGAAAGCAAAAAAGATAAATAATGTAATTAATCATAATCGCATGTCAGGTGAACCAAAGATGTATTCAATTTAAACATATTTGCATGAATATGTATTAATTATTTAATAATGTTAAATCATTATTATATTTAATTTGTAAACCTTTCAATTTCTATATATTTATAAATTTTATAGAAATTGTTCAAATATCTTCTTTTTAACTTAACTACAGAAACAAATATACATCATCATCTTCCAAATGATGCATGGTATTTGAAGTTTGATTGTTTTCTTTAGATCTCTTGCCAAATTGATCAATGTTTCGCTCTCCATTATACCATTCAATGGATTCTCCTCCCTTTTTTAAAATTTCATACGAGTGAAGTTCATCGAATTCATCTGTTTATTTACAATCCAGCGACAATAAAAAAAAAGTTATGAAATCATATATTTATTTTTAAACAAGATACAATTTTATTGTTACCTTTGCATTTCAAGTCAATTTCTACGTGAAGAAGAGATTATATTAGGATTGATTCAAAACTAAATTATGAAATACATATCGAATTTACCTTCGTCATTTTCAATTGCGCCTTTAATGACTATCCAACCGTCATCATCGTTCGGCCAATCGATATTTTTAATTGAATGAATTGAATTAAAAATTACAGAATGTTGAGATGGTTGTGAAGGAATTGATGTATCAAGTTGTGGATGATCTTGCGGAGGGGGTGATGATGATGAATGTTCAAAATGGAAATATGAAGGTGACTCGATGATTAATTTCTTTTTTGGACGAATTAAAAGGTTTTTTTGTTTTGGTAAAATATTTGCTTCTGAAGCTATTTGCTGTAATGCATTTAATGCATTTTTGCGATATGCGCTGAAATCGGGTTCTTTATTATATTCAAGATGTGACATGCTTTTTGTCAAAGCAAAAAAAAGATTGATTTGTTAAATGAAAGAATTAACAAAAAAAATTAATTCGTAGAAGAGAAAAAAAAATATATTAATGCAATTTATATGATTACATCGGTCCATCATTGTTTCATCAATGATTTTATTATGTGAAGCTTTTTCATAATTAATCATACTTAAATATTTGGCGGTTTCTTTTTTATTTGTTTATTTTTTTTTTTTGGATAACTTATTATTTTATTTTATTTAAAAAAAATAAATAGATAATCCGCATTCTTTCTCGTAAAGTGCACAAATATATTCGAGAATTTGTTTTTTCTTAATTTTCAAAAATGACGTTAGGAAAGCTTGAAATGATATAACGATTATATCACGAAAGGTTGTCATAAATGAACAGATCATAAATTCCATGATCATAAAATAATTTTTGAAGTAATTAAATTTATTAAGACAGATTCTATTTATCAAGACAAACAAATTTGGAAGGTTCAATCGATTTGAATAAATAGAGGAATTTAGTAACAAGAAACGAAAATTTGTATCTTAATAAGGGAAAAGTTCTTCTCCCAAATCTTTAAGAAGATCAAGAGCTCTTTGGTCCTCTTGCAAACCCGCTAATCTTAAGAAATGTCTGCCCTTTTCTTCATCTACTGTAATACCATAAGTTCCGTTTACATAAACGTTTCCCAATTCAAAGAACGCATTAGTATTATTATTATGTGCTGCTAGAGTTAAATAACGGATAAATTCTTCGGAATTTTTCAAGGTATTATTTTCTATTAACGATGTTGCATAGTAATATTGTGCTTCAGGTACTCCTACATCTGCCGCTTGCTTATATAATTCAACAGCTTCATGATGATTTTTTTGTACATGAATCCCATTTTGTAAATAATATGCTTTCCAATATTTAGCTCGCGAATTTCCAATAGATGCATGTTTATTAAAGCAATCCCAAGCCGTTTCGTGATCTTCTTTTTCATGAGATGTTAAACCTTCGATAAATCTAGGTAATGGTTTGACAACCGGAATTAAGTTAGGGTTTGTATTGTTCATTTTTGTTTGGTATTCATTATTATATGCGTTTTCTTGTTCTGGTAAAATTAGGACTACGGTATCATCATCGTATTTACGAGGTTGTATTTTTTCATCATCATTTTCTCTTTGAGTGAATTGACTATAAAGTTCATCCAACTGCAAAAAGATTTTATAAAGTCCTGGACGGAGTGCTGCATCATCTTGCCAAGCTTATAATGTAATTTAGAAAGCAATAACTTGTTAGCATTTTATTCAAGAAAAGAAAGAAACAAAGAAAAAAACCAATGTCCAATTAATAAAAAAAGAATTTTTCACCAGCTCTGATAATTTTTGAGAAATCTTGTTGTACGCGTGTCTGATTAGGACCAAAATTTAGATTTTCTCTTTTTCCTGCCTGTACATGATTTGATATCTTTCTAGAGTTCCAACCTCGATATGGAATTCTATCAAAACAAAGTTCCCAAAGGAGCATTCCAAAGCTAAAAAAAAAGTGTTAAAGAAAAGAACCTTAATTAATAGGATACGTTAATAATGTCTATTAATAATACTTACGCTTACCTGAATATATCACATTTTGCCGTGTAATAGGAAATTCTTAATTCGTTTTTAAGATGTTCAGGAGCTGCCCAATGTTCGGCAGGATCATCATGCCGAATATAAACTTTTTCATCGTGCAATGGACGGCAAAGACGGAAGTTCGCAACCTTTGGTTCTAGATTTGCCGTTAACTTATTATAATAATAATGATTATTAAGTATTTTGATAACATAAATACACAATTAATTTGCACTTACGAATATGTTTTCGCATCTTAAATCATAATGGAGAATGTCACTACCATGAAGAAATAAAAGTCCACGACAAATCCCAACGGCCATATTTAACTTAGTTGACCAGCTAATTGAGTATTTTTCATACAATCGTTTCAAATTATCTTTTTCTGCCCATTCGAAAACCATTACAATGCTTTCTAAAGGTTCCCATTCTAACGCTGAAAGTCCGTGAAATTTTAAAAGATATGGACAATTATTTAATTTATTCATAACAATGAGTTGATCTTGAAATTTTTGAGTTTGTGGTGTATCAAATCGTTTACATGCAACTGGAAGTTTTTCTCCCGAGTTTAGCCAATACCTTTTTCTTACATTTCCGCGTTGAGTATTTATCCCGGGATTGACATTCTTAATCAATTCCCGAGGAGGAACTGATTTTGATTTAATTTCATTACCGTTATTTTCATTTACATATGATTTTACTAATATAATTTCCTCAAATAAGGGATTAACTTGTTGTTTAATCATTGTTACTGGAGATCCAATTTTTTCCAGGAACTACAAGATCGGAATAATTCGAATTAATATTTATTAAAATATAAAAGAATAATAAAAAAAGATAATTCAAATATAATATAATATACTTTGTTCAAGATATTAATATCATGTTCAACCGCCCTAGTATCTCTTTTACTCTGTAATTCGTTGTCCAAAGAAATCTCCAAAGGCACCTCAGAAATGACTTTATCAAATTCTCTAGAAATTCGTTCAAACCTTTCTTTAATGGTATTCGTCGTTTGAAACTTTCTTAAACTCCAAAGGTACGAAATATCAGTAATAAAATGTTGAGCTTTTTTCACAATTGCAAGAAGCTTCATTAAAGAATTATAATAATCTTGACTAAGAAAATTTGTTTCAATTTTATCTTTACGACGCTTTAAAGCTTTAATAGGTGCTGCAATACAATCAACTCGATCAAGTAAAGCATTACTTATTTGTTTATTAAATTGAGCATATTCATAAGTATTATAAATTCTTCTAATGGCTTCATTAAGTGAGGTAATTAGCGGTGCGTAAGGTTTGACAATTTCACCAATGACAGCAGTTTCACCAAGAAGTTGTTTGGCTTTTTCCAATCTTTGACTATTATCAAGTCCATCATATTCTGCTGCTAATATAGCTCTTTGTTCTTCCATACCATCAATTGCGGCATCGGTTTGAATTGTATCATAAGGTATTTGTGCGTCAACTTGCCCATTCTCTGTCGTAGAAGCATTGAGAAATGGTTGATTTTCTTGTGATATATACATAGATTCATTTTGGGAAGGTTGCCCATTCTCTTCGATTATAGATCCATCAATATTCTTTTGCACATGTTGTTCTACGGAAGTAGGTTTACTTTGAGTATTTTCTCGAAATCCGGACATATAAATTGCTGCAAAAGATTAATTTCGCAAAGGATAATTAATTGTAAATCGAGGATTACATACAGAATGATGGGTTGCTGATCACAACTTTATTCACATTCTGTGACTTTGTATGAATTACGCCAAATCTATTACTTTTGATTCAAATCCGAAAATGATTTAGGGAATTAAAAAAAAATCATTTGGATTTTTAATTTTAATATACATACTCCCTAAATTGCTTTATTAATTTGCTATAATATGAATAAATTGTTGAAGTATATAGATGTATCTGATTTAAAGGTTTAAAACTATTAGCTCTAAAATTTTAAACTATCAAATCTACCATTTGTCTAATAGAATATTATTTATTGTTTGATTCATTTTTGGTGAATCAAAAGCTCTATCAATTATTATTTAAAACAATTCTTAGTTTTTAAAGTGATTGAAAACAGCTAAAATGTATATCTCATTATGTAAGTATTGATAAAACTAATATAATCTACTCATTATAATTTTCAAATTATATAAGATCTAAAATAAATTACTATTAATTTTGTATTATTAATAAAAACTTCAATTTAATCAAATAATAAAATATCCTAATTTAAAGATTAATAATATGAGAATATATTCAAGACAAACAATATTTTCTTTAAAACAGTATTTTTATAAAGTTACTTTCATTATATTAATTATATTTATAATAATTACTAAAAATTTTTGAATAATAATATCTATTTGTTAAATTATTTGATCTCAATTCATTCTCCTATATAAAATTTATTATCTAAAAAAATTATAATAAAAAAAATAAAAGTTTTAAAATACAAATTATAAAATTATACTGATTTTTATTATTATATTAGATTAGCTATTAGAAACTAATATAAAAAGGTATTATTTT